GACGGTTCAGCAAATTAGAATGGACGCGTTCTGGAGACGGCTGGGCTCTGGTGAAGAGCATGTTCTTATTCAAAGTTAATTGATTGGGTGGATGAGGAGATACGGTCAAGAGTGAGAAGGGAATAGCAACTTGGTGCGTACCTCTTTAAATTGTCGGTGGTGCGGCATACTTGCTATTTAGTAGGGGGAAGTGAATTTAAGAGCCCTCTTAAGCTGGATGTGACCATGTGGGCTTCTTAACTTCATCTTTTGAAAGGTTGTGGAGGTAGCTATGAGAAGTACCATAGACAAGGCAGTGGCACATTTGGTACTAGTGATTCACCTTTTTGGTTCCCTGAGTTAATGTTAGAAACAAAAGAATTTCATTACCAAAATTTCTCTCTCCGTTTTGTCACCTAAGTATGTTGGGGGGCGGGCGCTGCTCAAGTCTCGAGGGGAGGGGACACCCGTCGAAGTTCTCCAGAGTTTTCTTTTGGTTTATCGGACCACTCCAAGTGAATCTCTAGAAGAGCGAAAGTCACCCGCCGAAGCGCTCATGGGCCGGAAATTGCGAACTATCAATTCGGCCGTGTGTCCGGCACCGATGGCTCATTCCCATCCTGAACACGAAACCGGCCCAGTTCCAAATATCATGGGCCGGAAATTGCGAACTATCAATTCGGCCATGTGTCCGGCACCGATGGCTCGTTCCCAACCTGACGTGAACACAAAACCGGCCCAGTTCCAAGTAGGTGAAAGCGTTTTTGCCCGAGACTATCGACCAAGGCACGAACGCTGGATCGCAGGACACGCGTTACAAAAACGCGGCAGCGTAATGTACGACGTCTCTGTGGGCCATGACATCTGGACTCGACACAGGAATCAACTGCGGCCATGCCATCTCTCAGAGCGACCAGCGCCCCAGAACGAACTCCCGCTCGACATACTTCTTGACACCTTTGAACTGAAGGCCACCACACCTAATGCAGCGCTGCCGGCGAAACAGAACACAGCAGCCAGTGAGCAAAACCTTCTACCAAGAAGGTGGACAGATCGCCGTCGACGTCAAACCACTCTTTTTCAAATGGACCCCCGAAAAACCCGTTATTGACATTTTTTCACAAGAGGAGGTGTTGAGGATGTCAGTATCGCCAAAAACTGCTTATTTTCCGAGTTATTGCCAATTTATTTTCAAAAATTTTTGAATTATTAAATTTCGCGCCTTTTCCGCCATGTTGCACCTCAATCCGTAAAGACCGCGCTCTTTTCCTATTCGCCAGCTATACTTTGTGTGCATCAACTGACCTTTCGCTCCCCAAGGTCGCTCGAAATATATATATACAACGTTGCTCCCACTGTAATTCACCTTTGGTTGAGGCAGTAAAAGCCCTCTTCTGAAGGTCTGGTCTTCTGCTCTGTCTGCGCTAGGAGTGGTTGGGCTCGCGTCATAGCTGGGGAGTTGTGCGCTCGTTCTCAGGTGGCGTATATCCGTTGATCGTACCCGATTCCGATACATATAAAAGTATTAGGCTATCTCACGGACATTTTATCAGTTACACTCCGTGTATGCACAAACATCACTGAGAATAAACTATAAGAAATTGACATTATGGATTCTTCTGACGCGCTTGTTATACACTTGGATAATCCGCTTTGAAGGTTCCAAGCATTGAGCTAAACAATTGAAAGACGGCCCGAAGCATTTTTTTGATGGCGGACCCCACTAGCTGACTATTTCCGCACCACGAAAAACTGCGGCCGTTTTTGTGCGGCATATCTATTCCCTACCGTGCTGTTTTATTTAAAGTGTCGAGATGGACTAGCGTGTCACCGACTTTTGATAGTCTCTACTATTTCGAAGACTTGGATGAGGTTACCTCTTCAAACGAATGAATTTGAGCCAGATGGTACAATATTTATTGTGGTATCACGAAAGCGGTGCAGGGGGGAAGGGGGCTTTCCTCGCCTCCACTCATGGTTAAGCTATTGTGACGAAATTGACCGCCGTATCAACCTCAGGTTTACTAGACTTTATGGTGCAAGTTAACTTGCGTGGTGACATAATCTGTTTTTGCCGGGTAAAAAAGAGCTAGAGCAAGATGTACCTTCAAAAAGCGTGTCCGCTATCCGAATTTGGTTGCAAACCGTTGATCCGAGGCACACTGTCGGTGAAAAATGCAAGTTATTACTTCTCGGCTTCTGTTTCAGAGTTATCAATGAACACCGGGAATACACCGTGGTCCAATACATAACGCTGGGGACCTATCATACAGAAA